AAGGGCAGGGAAGGGCAGGGGAGGAGAGGGGAGGTTAAAGGCACGAAGTTACCTAAGATTCGACTATTAGAACTACAATAGGCATTATATATTTGTAAAACTCATTTGGTTTTGTACCTATTTCTATAATTTCTATTGTTCTTTTTTCTTTCCTGGTGCTCTGTGATTCTTTCATTTATCATTTTATTTTTATCTCGAATAATTTCTTTAGCTCTTCCTTAAAGGTAAGTCTGGTGGAGATAAATTATTTTATCTTCCATGAATCAGAATACCTGATTTTCTCTTCATTTCTGAATGTTACTTCCATTGGATATGGAATTTATGGTTGACAGTTCCTTTCTTTTGAGTTGACAGCACTTGAAAAATATTCCATTTCCTTTTTGTGTGTGTGGTTGGTGCTGGGGATGGAGCCCAGGGCCTCATGAATGGTGCTAGGCCAGTGCTTTACCACCGAGCTACAGTTACTTTTTTGCCTCCATAATTTCACATGGGAAACATGCTGTAATTCAAACTGATATTACCCTGTAGATAAGTGGTAGCCAAATCTGTAGCACACTGGTTATTGTTATTTATTTTTAAGATAAAAAAATGTTAATGTACAGCTGTTTTTTCTAAACTAAAACCCTTAGTATTCAGGCTTCATTGCAGGGTTAGTACTTTGTGATAAAAAAGTGGGTTTTGAATTGCAGATTGGCACTTGGTCTCTAAAAGCTTCTCCATTAAAGATAATTTTATACTTTTTGTATTTCTGTCAGATATTTTTATTGTCTCTCCTTTGTAGCATTTTAATTATGATGTGTCTTAGGACAGATTCATTTGTTTGTTTTATTTGGGGTTTGTTCATCTTATTAAATATGTGAATTTGTATCTCTTATCAAATTTGGGAAGTTATTTACCATCACTATTTAAGTATTCTCTTGATTCCACTTTCTTTTTTTTTTAAATTTTCTTTCTTTTTTTCCCCATAATTTTATTGAGAAACAAATAGCAATGAGACAGTTTCAAATCAAATTGGTAGGACAGTTTCAATAATTCACACATTGCATACTCTCTTCCTAGTGGTTAACTGCTGTACAAGATGCAGACATGATATCCTACTTACAAACAC